CATACGCACACACCACACCTTACAAAACACACACCATACCTCACAGCGCGCGCACACACACACACACACACACACACACACACACACACACTCAGAGATGGCAACTGCAGAGCACTGAGCTCCCACCACAGCACCCTTCCAATGCTAGGCCCTAAGGGATGCAGGATCCACAGGAGTGCAGACATGTGACTACAGATTCACTAGAGGAAGACTCTTGATCAGTGGGGCCCCAGGAGGGGAGTGGGGACAGGAGCAGCCCTGGTGGCTGAACAGAGAATATGGCTGTGGTCAAGTTGGTGTGTGAATGAGAAGGGGTCAAGGCAGTTCTCCAGAGAAGGGAAGCTGGGTGCTGGGCTGCCCCTGAAAATCCTGCAGGATGCAGCAGGCACTGAATGAAGGCTTCCTAGTGGAATCCGAGCTGCATTCCTGTGGGTTGGAATCTGGGGAAGGAAACTCTAACCTAACCTCAGTTACGGGAAGATCAAAGCGTTTGTGGCATGCTTTTCAAGGGGTTTTTAGCTTCTTGGAAAATGGAGCCCCTTAAATATCAGCAAATCTGTGTGTGAGCAGACTATGGCGACCGCAGGCTCCAGGCAGGGAGAAGCAGTCGGTGACCCGAAAGGCTCCTTCAGACCCTACGTTTTTGTTTGTTTTGATCCAAGCTACAGAATTTCCGTGCTGTGTATCATGAGAGACTTCGAAAGAATGTTTTCTGTGTCATTTCCCCCCTAAGCCAGAAATAACTCCCTTTCCTTGGAAACACATATTTTTCCTTCCAGTATCTCCTCGAAGGGAGAAGACGAAGGGCCAGGAAGGAGGCTCTAGGCCGTCTGCTGGAATTTATTCCTTTTGATTTGGGCAAAGGAATTTTTACCAAATGAAGAAAATGGTGACAGATTTAGGGACCCTATGTCACCTCCCCTAGCCCCTTAAAAACATTCTGTTTCTTATCTTGACTCCTTAAAAATACAAAATCATTCTTGTCACCGAAATAGGCAGTGGATTAAGTTCAACAAAGGTTTTCCAAGCACCAGCTCTACCCAGAGTTGTGCTGGGAGTGGAGGACTAAAGTTAGAAGTGGTCCTTGTCCTCCAGGGTCTAAAAGCCCAATGGATATATTCAGTTTGTGTGTGTGTGTGTGGGGGGGGTATGGTGTGGTGTGTGTGTGCGTGTTAGATCCGAGTATTCGTGCATGAGTATCTTCATGTGTCTGTGTACATGTGGAAGCCAGAGGACGGATGCTGGATGTCCTGCCTCTCACTCTCCACCTTAATCCTTTGTGGCTGAATCTCTCACTAAACCTGGAACTAGACGGGCAGACTACAAACCCCAGAGAGAGCCTCCTGTCCTCACCCTCTACAGCGCTGGGGACTTGAACTTAGGTGCTCATGCTCGTCTAGCAAGTACCTCTCCCCTACTGACATATGTCCCTAGCCCTGGAAGTATTTATTAATTCGTGTTATAACAGGACTAATTTTTATTAATGTCCTTTATCATCCTAATTTGCTGCTGCTTCCCTTAGTGTAGCTAATTAGAGAGATGGAACAAGGTGATATAAACCCCTTCTGGAAGGAGTCTTGGTTGCACTTGAATATGTGCCTTGGAAAGGTGACTAAGAGCTTGCCCATTGGTTCTGGAGGAAGGCTGGGGTACCCGTGTTGACATGAGGAGTCTTGAGCAGCACCGAGGTGACGTTCTGAGAACCTCACCTGGACTGACTCAGGAAGTACTAGGACAGATCCTCCAAGGCACAGTGGAATTGGTGCTCAGGTGGAGTGACTGACTGTCCTTTCCTCTCATCTGAGGAATCTTTCACATCCACCTTGGCTGCCAGGCCGTCTAGACCAGCTGACTTCGGCCTGTGTTCTTGCTTTCTGACCCAGAGGCAGGATGCACTCGCTGGACCAGAGCTGGAGAATAGGTTGGGGCTCTGTTTTAATTGCCTGTTCAGGCCATAGTATTTTGTGATGAACAGGTTTCTTTTTTTTTCCCCTCCAACAAAATTGGTATGTTCCAGGATTGTGTAATTCGAACTGTGATTTGAGGTTCATCTGCCATCTTGAAATTAAACAATGGCCAGTTACATTTTAAAATTGGGTCATAGCTGAATCTCCTTGGGATTTTGGAATCTGGATCATGTGTACCTGTCATAGACATGTGATAGTGCTTTTGATAAACTGTGTTGGCACAGAGGTTGGAGAGGTGGCTCAGTGGGTAATGTGTTTGCTGTGCAAGCCTGAGGACCTGAGTTTGAATCCCCAGCACCTATGAAAAAGCCAGGCCTGGTTGTGTGTGCTTATAACCCCGGTGCTGGGAAGGCAGAGGCGGGAGGATGCTGAGGGCTTGCTGGCTAAATGCTCTCGTTGAAAATAGTCATCTTTAGTTTCATCGAGAGACCTTGTATCCAAAAAAAAAAAAAAAAAGAAACCAGTGGAGAAGGGAGACAAGTGCACCCCGCACACACCCATGCATGCCTACACACAGACGCCCCGAATCTCTCAGGACAGTTAAAGTCCTGTTCATCACGGACTTTCTTTACTTCTCACTCCATGGGAAGACGCTAGGCTGTTGCCACCTCCATCACTAACTGCTAAGGATACACAGTGGTATGTGTCTATGGTCATTAGCTTTGGTAACAACTTAATGAAATGCCAGTGGTATCATGATAATGAGGATTTTAAATGTTCCCAACACAAAAAAGAGATGCTAAATATCTGAGATATGCCAGTTACTGTGAGCTCCTCACTACATATTACATACGTGCATTTAAAGGTCACAAATGCACAACTATTTTATGTGTCCATTAAACTTTTAAAATATGGGGCTGGAGAGATGACACCTCAGCTAAGAGTGCATACTGCTCCTGCAGAGAACCCAGGTTCGGTTCCCACCACCCACATTGGGTGACTCACATCTATCTACCTGGAACTCCAGCACCAGGGGATCTGATGTCTCTGGCCTTTGTGAGAACTGTACTCAGGTGTTCACACTCCCCACCCCACCCCCACAGACATGGGCACATAATCACAAATAATAAACATACATTTTTAAAATTAAAATATATTAAATAAATTGAAAACATAAATAAAGTAATACAATTAGTGAGGAAAAAAGAAAAAGAAGAAAGCTAGTGAAAGCTAGGAGGGGCTGGAAGCACATACCTGCTATCCCAGTTCTCAGGAGGCAGAGGAAGGAAGGTTACAAGTTTGAGACCAGCCTGGGCTACATAGGGAGACCCTGTCTATAACTAACTAACAAACTAGATAAATATGTAAAGTAACTGAGCAGGACCTGAACCTGTGTGGCACTCACATTCTTCGAACTCAACTACACACACTGCTGTCATCACTGAGTAGTTTTTGTGTCAACTTGATACAGACCGGAGTCATCGGAGAGCAGGGAACTTCAATTGAGAAAATGCCTGCATAAGATTGGACTGTAGGCAAGCTTTACTATAGGGCATTTTCTTAATTAGTGACTGATGAGGGAGGGCCCAGCCCATGGTGGGTGGTGCTGTCCCTGAGCTGGGGGTCCTTGATTCTGTAAAAAAGCAGGCTGAGCAAGCCATGAGGAGCAAGCCATTAAGCAGCACCCCTTCACGGCCATGGCCTCTGTGTCAGCTCCTGCCTCCAGAATTCTGCCCTGTTTGAGTTCCTCCTGCCTTGATGTCCCTCAATGGACTGTGACTCAGGATATGTAAGCCAAATAAACGTTTTCCTTCTCAAGTTGCTTCGATCATGGTATTTCAGTGAAGCAGGAGGAACTCTAACGAAGATAACTGTATTAGGAACTTGGGTTTTATAAAAAGCGGTGTGAGGAGAGTGTTGGGTTTTGTTGTTTGTACACCACCTTGCTGTCTACTTCCTCCAGGACAGAGCACAAGTCTTTGATAACCTAATGAGGGAGACCTGGAGAGGTACCAGGCCATCAGTGATCTCAGAGTTTCTGTGACTTCCACAGGGTGGTTCTGTGTGTTAGGGACACAGCGCAGAGTGAAAAGAGCTTAGCTTTCAGAACCAGAAAGGACAGTTCCCACTGTCTGAGCTGAAGTGTGACGATTCACATTCTCTGACACATGCTGGTTGCAACAGGAAAGAGCGTAGCCTGGCTCTCTCTACAGCTCTCCCAGGCACATCCTGTTGTTGATGGAGACATGCTCACTGCTGCCCCAAGAGTTTGCATATGATCTCTTTCTACTGTGTCAAGTGTAAGAAACCCCAGGTGTGAGAAACCCCACATTTATTCTTTTTAAATTTTTTTATTTATCTTTTAATTGTGTGTGTGTGTGTGTGTGTGTGTGTGTGTGTGTGTGTGTATAAGTATGTGCACAATGAGAGCAGGTACTTACAGAGTACCAGGCAATTGTGAGCCACAGGATGTGGGCACAAGGATTAAAGCCTGGGTCCTTTGGAGGAGCAGAGCCACTGAGTCACCTTCCCAACTCCCTGAAATTATTTATGTATCTATTCTTTTGAGATGGGGGTCTTCCTTTGTTGCCCTGGCTGTTCTAAAAGAATTCACAACGTAGACCAGGCTAGCCTTGAACTCACAGAGATTCACTTGCTTCTGCCTCTTGAGTTCTGGGATTAAAGGCATACACCACTACACTTGCCTTTGAACTTATTCTTAAGAAGAAAAAAATCTACTTCTTTTTAATTTCCTATTTGCCTAGGCTCTCCATGTGGGTTGAAGCCATCCAAGACCTCGAGGACACTGGGCTCAACAGCGAACTGGGCTGGGCCCCTTCTGTGCCTCTTTAGTTTGAGAGTTTGGGTGGCGACTACGTTCGGCTTTTGGCTTACTGCCCGTTGGCTGTGTGGTGTCCCACAGTCTTCCTCTGAGTTCTTGCCCTTCCAGGAGGACAAAGGGCCTCTTAAACGTCAAGGCCTGACTGGCCCAACAGGCCCGCAAAGTCTGCGCTGCACGTTGGAATCGCAGGAGGGCTGGCCACTCCGCCTCAGAGTCTCCCAGCTCTTGTGCTCTTTGTTCTCTTTTGGCAGAACCAGCTTCTTGCAAAAGGACTGTCCTTCGTGGAGGAGAAGATCAAGGAGTGTGAAGGCAAGTACGAGGGAGGCCCTGGTGCCCGGGCCGTGACTCAGCGCACCCCCCATGTTTGCACAGCTGAGATGCTTGTGTCCGAAAGCAGCAGACTCCCAGTGAGTGAGTCACTCCTGCTTCTTGCTGCATCCAGGGGTCTGAACCAGCTGCCCCCGTCTGTGCCACCCAGACGGCCTTTGCAAACCTGGATTGGGATGGGGTGATGTATTGGAGACCTGGGTAAGGGGTTTACACGGACGTGTCCGGGTGGTGTCCTTTGAAGGGATACAGGCAGATGCTTAGCATAGATGCTGCTGGTTGCTCTGGTCTGCTCCAGGCTGTTCCCCATCCACGGTTGCAATATGTTTCTTGGAATCACAGTAGACAGAAGTGCTCCTTATTTGGGGGAACATTAGGACCATCCAGCTCCCACTCAATGGGATGTGGTCTGAAAGATGAAGAGAAGTTTCCTGGTCTGTCTGTGGTTTTAGAATCCAACTGACGGAATGGAAAGAAACTGACTGGAGAAGGGAGCTGGTCTCAAAGGAAAGAACTGACTTTGAGGGAAAGGGTTTCTGGGGACTCATCTTAGCTTGTTCCTTAGTTTTCTATTGACTTTTTCTCCTTCTCTCCCCACTCCTCCCCTCCTCCTTCCCCCCTCTCTCCCCTCCCTCCCTCCCTCCATCTCTCTCTCTCTCTCTCTCTCTCTCTCTCTCTCTCTCTCTCTCTCTCATCTCAGGCTGGCCTCATATTTCCTACATGGTGCAAGATGACATAGAATTGATTCTCTTGCCTCCATCTCCCAAGTGTTGGGATTAGAGGCATGCAACACCATTCTTGGTTTATACTGAGCTAGAGATGAAACCCAGGGCTTTGTGCATACCATATAGGTACTCTAGCAACTGAACTACATCCCCGGCTCAGATTCTCATTTTAAAGTTATGAAATGGGGTGAGGGCTTATATATATATATATGGGCCATATAACACCATACTCTGCACACAGTCAGTCTATCTGTTCTTTGTGTTCTAGCCCAATGATCTTAGTTTAGGTCATGGATGTTCAGACTCAGACTTCATATGGCCATATACTGGAGTACATGACTTCAAAAACATTATGACATGTGACAGCATGTATGAACCTTGAGGACACTGTGTCCAGTGAAAGGCATTTTTACACACGCTTGCATACACATGCACACACATTTTTTCTTTCACATTTAGGCTGTGGTTTTTGTTTCTCTTGTCTGTAAATACCCATTGAACCATGTAGTTGGACTTTCTTTGGACCACCAGCCCTCAGATAGTGACACAGAGACTTATTGTTAATTATGAAAGCTTGGCCTTATTGGCCTTATTTAGGCTTGTTCCCGACTAGCTCTTATAACTTAGTTAACCTGTTTCTGTTAATATATGCTCTGCCACATGCTTCTTTATCTCTCCTTCATCTTGTATGTCCAACCCCTCTGTGTCTCTTTGGCGAAATCCTGGTGCCTGGATCCATCCCCTGAGTTCTTCGCTCTGCCCGGAAGTTCCGCCTAACCTCCTGCCTAGCTGTTGGTTGTTCAGCTTTTTTATTAAACCAATCACAGCAATATATCTTCACACAGTGTACAAATATCCTGCAATAAAACCAGGGCTTTAAATTCTTTGAAACTAGGGCTGGAAAGATGGTTCATCAGGTAAGGATGCTTGCTGTTCTTGCAGGGAACCTCGGTTCAGTTCCTAGCACACACATCAGGCACTTAGGAGTGAGTTCCTGTAACTCCAGCTCCAGGAGATCCAACTCCCTCTTCTGGCCTCCTTGAGCACCTGCACCCATGTATGCATGTGGTTCATACACCACACAAACACAACATAAATTAATCATTTGAAATTATAATAAAACATATGATATAAAATGTCCCCCTGTTACCACCTCACAGTCCACAGCACTAACTTTTCTCATCTCTATGTTGTGGCCTCCAGTTCTTCACCTCGAAACTGGAAATTCCATACCGTTGAGCACCCATGTTTTTGCAACCACCATTCACGCCTTGCTTCCAGAGTTTTGACTAAGAGGGATCATACAGTAATTGCGTTTTTGTAAGTGGCTTCTTTTACTGGATGTAATCTCCTCCAAGTCCGTATGTGTTGTCACATGTCAGAAGATACCATGTGTTTTTGAAGTCATGTACTCCAGTATATAGCTAGATAACATTTTATTCATCTGTTCATCCGTCAGTGGTACCTGTTTTGATCAGAATTTAGTAGTTCTTTGTATCTGGGAGTCAGGTTAGTACACAGATGTGGAAGGTAGCCCTCCAGTCAAGGGAGGGACAAGAACCACTTGTTCCTGGCCACTCCGCTTGTATGTCTATCTTCTGGGGCGTTATTATAGCTCCTGGAAATGTGTAAAACCAGCTCTATAAAGCAGGCATTGAGAAGAATTAGATGTCCTTAAATTAGGAAGGTGGAAGGATGGATATAAGTGACCATCATCAGAGATGGACTCAAGAGTGGAAACTCAGAGATAGAGCTTAGATGGGATGACCAAAGTTCATCCGAGATTTTGTGCTTGTAAACCCAAAGCACGGACCTGGTGATGCATTGCAGGCATTCCCACGAGACTTCCTAGTCTTAGGGTTGTGGTGTTGGAGCCCTTTCTGTACACAGAACAGGCACAGAAGGACATGTAAGACACATTCTCATCTTCAGACAGAATGATTCATAGATTTCATGTATTAGAACTTCAAGAATAGTTTTGTTTGGTTGAAAGGGCTCTCATGTCACAAAAAATAAAATTTAAGAATGACCAGGATGCCCTGTGCCATTCCTAGGTGAAGGTCCTCTGGCACTTCCCACTTGTACTTGGGTTTGTTACTGTGTTCAGCCGTCCTGGACAGCAGCTGCTGGACAGGAGACTCCATGTTGTCAGTCTTTCCTACAGCTGTACTGGCCTTGCTTTTCAGGATGTTTTTGATAGCAACCTGTGTGCTGCTGCCGATCTGATTCCTGGGGTATATCAGAGGGCAGATTCGATGACAGACATCTAAAACTTTCCATTCACACCTTCACCTTTGTAGGGAGCTGACTCTGACTTGTGGACTATTTCTAGACATGAAGCTACCTGTTTCCTTTACCTCTTTCTTCCTTTGTTGGTCTGTGCCTGCTGCTCTGACAGAACACTTTTTGGAACCTTCTTTCCTTCCTGACCTTCATAGCCATCAGTCAGATCCAGCCTCCCAGCACGAACCTCTCAGCTGCAGGGTGGAAGGACTCATTTAAGCATCCACGAGGCCTCCATCTTAGCATGGAAGTAGGCACAGCCCAGCATCACAGGGTTCTCCCTCCTTCCCTTCATTGTAAAAGGCTTCAGGTAAGGGTCGTGAACAAAGCCACCAAAATAGCCTTCATTCCTCTTCGGGGTTCAGCTTGGATTTAGGAAAACAGATGACCCTTTGATTCCCCTGCCTCATCCCTGCCGTGCATGAGCATTGCGTACATCTGCAAGGTGGTTCGGTGTGGCTGATCAGTCACTTATTGGATGCCAGGTCCTTTGCTAGACGCTGAGGCTGCTAACCTGGAAGTGAGAACAGATAAGAATCAAGTCACCATGTATTAGTACGTCAGTTGCGTGTGAGTGGTTGGGTATGAGTGTAACCAAGACTAGTACTAGTACTACTAACATACACAGGAGGGGGTGTATGTATGTTGATTCACTGGAGGAATAAAGTGAGACTGTAAAAATAAAATCTGAACCGAAACAAGGAGGATTAACAGGCACGTTAGGCAAAGAGGGAGGGAAGGAGAAGTCTGGACAGAGGAATTATCATAGGCAAAGGCTCTGTGGTCTGAGGAAGCCTGGTGAGTATGAGGGGCTGAGATCAAGCCTGCATAGTCACAGTCCAAAGACTGAGGGAAATCTAGCTGAGGATGAAGACACGGGAGGAGGAGACAGAGCCTCGTGGTTGTGTAGTCCACATTGTAGAAGTGTCCTTCTAAGAGAAAACAGGAAATGTTCCTACTCACTAGAAAGGCTTACTGACTGGAATGTCACCTATTTGGGTCAGATAGGAACCTCCTGCCCCTGAGAGACCTGGCATGTGCAGAAACCTACACATTTGGCACTTGCCATTCCTTGCCATGAAGGCCTTTACCTGGTGGTTTATTGATGTGTCTGGCTTGGTGCTCTGCACCTAAAACATAAGAAGGACAAACCTGGCCCAGGACAAACCTGTCTCAGCTTCTCAAGTTCTAGCCTGGGACAATTCCAGCAACGCTTGATGAGTGCTTTGCCGGGGAAGACAGAGCATGGCACCGGTCTGCGTCCAGCCTGACCTCCCAGCAGCTGCTGGCGACCAGCTATGCCCTTGTTCTGTGCTTTCTCCCCAGCTACTGCCTTTATTGGCCATTAAATTAATAGACGGGAGACACTAAATGAATCTATCAAGGTTCGTTCCATGGAACTAGTGGTGTTTTGCCAAACACATCTCTGGGTGTCTTGTCTTGGCTGACCCAGTTTCTCTGCTCAGGATGAGCAGACAGTAGCCCATAAGCTCTGGTATCTAGGTCATTAAGCAGCAGCTACTTCAACCAGGCCCTCTCCTCTCACATCCCTTCAGTGGCATGAGGTGACCTGTGTACTTTAGCCTGTGGGTGGCATTTGGCTTCCTGGTGCCAGGGGTGAGCAGGCACCATCAGGAGGTGCCTCCCAGCTATGGTGCAACAGTGGGTGAAGGTGATACTGTAGATCGTCTTACTGCTTCTCACCTGACAGCTCAAACCCAGAATCAGGCCAAGGTATGTAACTGTGCCAACGGAGCAGTGTATAACTGTGCACACAGATCAGTGTACAACTGTGCAAACAGCAGTGTATAACTGTGCAAAAAGAGCAGTATATAACTGCAAACAGTAAGTGTAGAACTGTGCAAACTGTGCACACAGATCAGTGCACAACTATGCAAACAGCAGTGTATGACTGCAAACTGATCAGTGTACAACTGTGCAAACAGCGGTGTATAACTGTGCAAACTGATCAGTATACAACTGTGCAAACAGCAGTGTATAACTGTGCACACAGATCAGTGTACAACTATACAAACAGTAGTGTAGAACTGTGCAGGTGTAGAACTGTGCAAACAGAGCAGTATATAACTGCAAACCAAAAAGTGGATTAACAAGTGTGCAAATGGAGCAGTGTATAACTGCAAACAGCAGTGCATAACTGTGCAAACAGCAGTGGATAACAAGTGTGCAAATGGAGCAGTGTATAACTGCAAACAGATCAGTGTATAACTGTGCAAACAACCTTCAAAACAGTCAGATAAAGACCATGAGGTCAGGGACCCCAGCTTTGCCTTTGAGCTGTGTGTTGTTAGTGTAGGTCCTTGTGGTTTCTGAGCCTGTAAGATGGGGTAACAGGGCCTACTCACATCGTACTGATCAGTAGTTTAGCACAGTGTCTGAAGATGCTGGAAACACTCGTGGATATCAATTGTCATGTGGTTGTAAACTTTCACCTCCCTTTTCTGAGTTTGGGGATAGAACATTTGTGTGTTTCCAGTTGAGGCTTCCCACTTGAATTTTGCTATTAAAAAAAAAAATCCAAGGTCATTTTCTAAATAAGAAGTTGACTTGGCTCACTGATTTGGAGGCTCAACACTTTGGTGTGTCTTCTGGTAGGAGCCTCATGATGGGTGGCATTGTGGTGGTAGGCAAGTGTGGAAGGGATCACATGGGAAGCCAGGAAGCCAGAGCAGAAGCCAGAGACCAGCTCTGTGGAGGCCCATCAGAGCAAACCAATCTGAGCTTGCTTTACCCAGCAGGGCTGCATAAGGAGATGATTTGATCAGGGGTGTGTTTACCAGGTGTTTGGAAGGGTCTACACTTGGCTGTGTGGTGTGCTTTGATCTAGCAAGGGGGCATTGTTATAAAAAGCCCTTTTGAGTAAACAGAAAAGACCATTGGGCATTGACCCAGGTCCTCCCAAAGCTATCCTGTGTTTCTGTCTTTCTCCTCGTCGCTATCTTTCTATCTAATATTTTCTTATCCCTCTCTCCTTCTCATAAGAACCCTTGAAAAGGTGGGAGCTGGCCTCCCACACAGCTCATTTTCAAAACCCTCACCAAAAGGGCCTCACTCTGCAGCCTGACACTAGTCTGTTCCAAGGTCAGGGCTCCCAATGACCTCTGACTGGGTCATAACTCTTAAATATTCTCTTCCGCCATCCTTACTATAGAGCACAGGCTAGCCTCAAACTCACTATACATAGCCCAGGCTGGCCTCAAACTCATGACCCTTTTGCTTCTACCTTCCAAGTACTGGGATTGCAAGCATGCAGCCCCACTCCCCACCCACCACCCTGGGGCCTGAGCTTCCACCATGTGAACCCTGAGTACCACTTCATGGAACACTGACTGCTGTCATACTTGGTGGCTTAAACACCCTCTCACTGGTCCCGCAAAGGCTGTTCCTTAATTTACATTCAGGATCTCACCAGTGATGTTGGATTTCAATTGCTGTGTGTATCCTTCGAGGAAATCTCCTGTTGGCCTTAGCAGGGACAAAGATCCTGGAGCACTGAGGCTATGATCTCTGGGTGTCAGCAGCTCTGGGCTACAAGTTCCCCAGTGTATGCAGCTTCACATTTGAGGAGGAGCTGTCCTGTGGCCTCTCCTGGGAGTGATGACATTTTCTCTTCTTTCTCCCATCTTCTCTCCCCTGTGTAGGTGACAGTCGGATTGAGGTTCTGGCTGAAGTCTGGGACCACTTCTTCACCGAGACTCTCCCCACCCTGCAGGCGATATTTTATCCAGTTCAGGTTAGTGTCACTAGCATGCAACAGCTTGTCTCTTCCACTGACCTTGGTGATCAGGCCTCTTGCTAAGAGGGGGACAGTCTAGAGGTGGGCACCTTGGTGAGAAAGGGTGCTGGAGGGTTTCTGAGGACTCTCTGGGTCTATATTTAGCCCCCAACTTCAAGTGAAGAGAGTCTTATATATAACCAGCAATTTGAAGGATCTTGTTGGCCTTGTGGTTTGGATGGTATATATACTGAGCAGGGTGGGTTTTCTTTTTCCTTCTCCTCCGTTCTCACTCCGCCTCTCCTCACTGGCATTCTCTTTGAAGCGTAATTTTAAAATACTTTATTAGTGCACATTGATCAGAAAGTCTTGGTTCTTTCGGATAGCTTCACATGTGTGTCTAATGCACTTTTATCATATTCACCCCCTTATACTCTGCTGCCCACCCCCACTCCCACCTCCACCCCGGTCTCCTTGAAACACATTTTAAGCAAGTTACTGTTGTCTGGAAGTCATGGGGAAGGATACCGTTCCTTGCTGTCTGTGATGGACTCTCACCGAAGACCTGCATGATCTAACCGTGCTGGGTGAGGAGTGGGGAATGGGCAGGCTGGAGTTCTGCAGTGTTAGTTCGGGGGTATTTAACTTTATACACAGCACCATTCAGTCCCTGAAAAGCGTGGGATTGGGATTTAGGGCTGGAGAGATAATACAGCAGTTAAGAATTTGTAATGGTTTTTAGAGGCCCTGGGTGCAATTCCCAACACTCATGTAGAATGGCTCACAACTGCCTGTAACTCCAGTTTCAGGGGAGCCAATGCCCTCTTCTGAACTCCATGGGTCCCTGTACTCATAAGCATAAGCCCCCACAGAGACACAAGCCTATACATATAATTTAAAGTAATAATGATAATAAGTGTCTTTCTAGAGTGTAGGAGTTAGGGAAGGCTATTCGACAGTGAACAGCTTGCCATGGCAAGCATGAGGCTCTGAATTCAGATATTCACCATCCATTTAAAAGTCAGTGGAGCCGGGCAGTGGTGGTGCATGCCTTTAATCCCAGCACTTGGGAGGCAGAGGCAGGCTTATCTCTGTGAGTTCAAGGCCAGCCTGGGATACAGAATGAGTTCCAGGAAAGGCGCAAAGCTACACAGGGAAACCCTGTCTCAAAAAACCTAAATAAATAAATAAATAAATAAATAAATAAATAAATAAATAAAATAAAAGTCAGTAGAGCCACACATCCTAACCTCAGTGGTTGCAGGAGACAGGCAGGTCTCTGAACCCTGCCGTCCAGGCAGTCTAGTTTAATTGGTGAGCTATTCCTCTCCCAAATTGCTCTCACATACCTGCAGCTTGCTCACATTCCTCTCCCCACCCTGGGGTTAAGGCTTTTTTTTTTTTTTTTTTTTTTTTTTTTTTTGGCTGGTCTGGCTTTGTTGAAGGGTGAGTGTAATAAGCAGACTGGAAACTGAGCCACCAGCAATGGTTGGAATTTCCTCATTCCACAGCGAAGGCCCCAGGAGATTGCTTGCACTCACGGTGTTTTAAAGGAGTATGGGATGCCTTGTGCTCCATACCCAGTATTTTAAAATGTTGTTTAGTGATGTCACTTCCCATTGCAGACTTGCCTCTCACGGCTCCTGCAACACAGTGCATGTAGTAGCCTGTAGCCCATTCCTCTCATCAGCCTCAGTCTGGACCAGTGGGGCTGGAGACCCTGCAGCTTCTGCCCCCACAGATACCCTTTCCCTTGCAGCCGTCGCCCCTTAGCGAGCAGCAGGTCCTCAGAGAGAGACCTGAGGGTAGGGTTCGCCGATGTAGCAAATAAAAATACAAGGTGTTGCCTTAACTTTGAATTTTATATAAATGTCAAAGAATGGATTCTGACACACGTGTATATGAAAACAGAATTTAACCGGTATCTTGTGTTTGATCTGTTTATAACCAAAAGGAAAGGGATGTGCAAATGAGGGTCCTTTGTGTAGCAACTGCTAGGACGTGGTGATGGCTATAGAATGGGTCAGGATGGGCATGGAGGGGCTCAGAGCCAGGCAGGAGCACAGTCCTCCAGACCTAGGATGGTTCTGTTTTGAGTCTCTTAAAAAGCAGTCAGATCTGACAATATGAAATATTGCTCATTTCACTTTTCTCACCCCCAGTAACTAAGTGGCCCTCACGCCCTGGCCACTTTCTTCCCCTGCTGACCTTGAATGGCATCTGCCTGTGCAGACACATTTTATTTGCTAGCTGAGACTGAGTGGGAGAGGCATAGATTCAAAGCAAAGGGGGTGAGGAGGGCCTATAACACATGTGCACCAAGGTAGAAGGCATCCAAAGTGGGTGGCCTGTACATTGGATACCATGGAGGTGATTTTCTATTTCAAGGACAAAGATAGACTTGCTTTTGCTTTTGAATGAGTAGGTGTCCTTTCTCTGCCGTATCAGTCTGAGGACACCCCAGGGCCCTGGTTAATGGCTGTGAATGGAAGTCCCAGGAAGCAGCGATTGACTTGTGTCTATTGGAGTAAACTGGGCACCTCATGTCTCCCTTCCAGTGCATTTCCTGACAGTCCGAGAAGACAGATTTTGCCTGTGGAAAAGCCTTTGTGGCTGCTGGGGCCATAGATGTAAAGCTCTCCATTGCAGCCTGGATTGAAAGTGGTTCAGTAAGAGAGGCTGCCCTAATTGTCGGGATCTGTTTTTCTCTGGCCTGGCCAAGCCGGTGGGTTTGGAATGGGTTGCTCTTTGAATGCCCACCATTTGTCCACTTCAACAGTCATCTCCATCCCCTCCATTGTGTGAGAAAAAGTGCTCTCAGATACTCACTGGGAGCGTGAGTCGGCTCATTCTTTTGAGAGGCTAATGTGGCAGTATCCAGAAAACATGTGTGTGCCCAGGTGTGTGTGTGTGTGCGCGCGCGCAGCGCGCGCGCGCGCGCGCATGCGCACCTGCACACATGTACATGTGTGAACATATATGTAGAGGCCAGAGGCCAATGTCAGGTGCCCTTCCCTTTTTGAGACAGGGTCTTCCCAAGCTTGTTATTTCACTGATTTGACTAGACTATCTGACCCGGAAGTCCTAGGAATCTGCTTGGCTCTGCCTATCTGGTTTCGAGATTACAGACTGCCTCTGGTCTTTTGAATGTGGGTTTTGGGGGCTAAAACTCAGGTCTTCAGGCTTGTTCAGCACTCACTTTAACGCACCATCTCCCCATCCCTTTTTAAAGGTGGTTTTGATAGTGTCTGTTTCTTTGAAAGAGTGGTAGCAATCCGGATACACTAACCAAAGTGTCCAGAGAATCATGGATAAACATGTTTACTACAGCATTGTTGTAGTATAAAAGGCGTTTTAGTTGAAGAAATGGCAGTTAGAGTATACTCACTCACTAGAATACTGTGTGGCCTTAAGGTAATATGGGGCAAGGGAAAAGCAAGGTGAGCTGATATGCAAAGATGTCCAAGTTAAACTAAGCTAAGTAAAGGCATGCAAACTGCGGTCTCTATGTGTGTTTAAAGGTTATGTGTGTAATTTTATAGAGGTAAAAACTTTGTAGAAAAATCCAGAAGATAAATACAAGCCTTTGAAGGGTGGTTTCTTGTATAGATATACGGAAGGTGACTTCTGCTTGCCCGAACCCTGTCCTAACTGAATCATAGCCTAGAAATATCTGTTACCTAATGATTTAAAAGTGAAATCCAAAACAAAATGACAAAGTACCAGGAGTCATCCCTATGGCTGGCAAGTGGAAGGCCCCAGTGCCTGGGAGGCCTTGAGGGGCTTCCAGTTATGCAGAGTAGTTCTGCAGTTGCTGGTCGGGGAGGGGAGTTCTGGACTTGCCTTCCTGTTCCTTGCTGTCTCCTCTTTCCTCCAGACTGACATTCAGACTAGTTTCTAAAAGTGTACTTGCCCTTGCCTGCCTTTTTCCCTTTCTCTGTCTTGCATGACTTACTTATATCAAGCAGTTCTACTACAGATACCACAGAGGGTGCGTGAACGAAAGTTGAACAGCTCCCATCCTCCCCCAGCATCCTCTGTCATCAACTAGCCTGGCATAAACAGAGTAATGAAGGCTAGTGTTGGGTCATGCGTCCTAGCCATCTAGCTACCAAGCGTGGGTAATCCCAGCTTCTCAACTTTTTAGGTAGTGAAAGAATAAGAGTGTATGTATGTGAGGGACGCAGTAAAGAAACCACCGAGATGTCTACTCTGTGGTTAGGGGGAAGGTTTTTATTGTGGATAAGAGAGAGAGAACATCCAGAGGCATCTGGAAGAGTCCAGAGCCGAGAGAAAAAGAATCAGCGGACTGGACATGAGCTAGGGAAGTGGGGAGGGGGGGGGAGTGGGGAAGAGAACAGCAGAGAAAGGGCGATTGCAACAAGGAAACACCTTGCCATTATAAAGGGATCTGGAATAGCCTGGGAGCTAGCACAGTGCAGGAGGAGTTAGGGGAGTGAGAAGGGCCAGAACTCTAGTGTGGGGGCCTTGAGATGTATAACAAGTACTTGTGAATAAGGACTGAAGGAGCCTGGAGGCCTGCATGGGCTTTGATATGGAACCACTTCTGGTATATGTCAGTGGAGAGCCATATGTCCCCTCTGCCAGAGGCTAGGGAAATGACTCCTTTTGATGGGTGGAAACCCATTCCACAAGTTGCTAGGGAATGCTGGGTTTTATCTAACAGTCAGAAATCCTCTAGTCCAGCTTGAGCTAAGCCAAGAATGTCATTTCTAGACATATGTACTGCCTGAGACCTAACAAAGACCAAGTAAAAGAACCTTTCATTTATAATTTGTAATCATTTTAATGCTATAGAAAGAAAAAAAAAACTTGAGGTATACATTGCAACATCTCAGATGACTTTGAGGGGACCATTGAGGATTGCTGGAGTCAGATTACTAGAAGGTTACTAATACCATGGACAGACAGAGAACAGCGTGGCGGGGCCTCTAAGGAGAGTCCAGGCCCCGGCTCCACAGACAGACAGCATACAGCAAGCTCTGAAGAGGCCTCAGCTGATTGGAGGATGCCCACCTGTGTGGAGAGAGCCGCTGGTTTGTCCTGTCTGCCGGTTCCTGTGCTGATCTCACTTTGAAGTGCCATCATAGGCACAGGGAAGAGTCATAATCAGGACAGTGGGGGTTTGTCAAGTTTATCCCTCCCCGCGACACATACATGCAAATAAATCTTCAAAAATGTAAAAACGCCTCTCCAAGTCCCAGGGTTCCAGCAGATGAGTTTGAGAAGGACACACACAAACCACAGAGGTGGAGATGACATGCACTGTTTACATCTAAGTGCTTAGGGTCCTGCCTAGCACACAGAGTCCGGCAAATGCAAACCCTCGTGACTCTTGGTATTTTTAATCTCCTGCCTATTACTCCAATAGCTGAAGTAGTGACACTTTTTCTACTTGCAAATCACTTTCCCTTAGTTACTTGTGATTATGTAAGAGTCTCACATCTTATGTAACCACGTAAGGGCTGATGTTGCCTGACCTGTGATGAGCACTTACATATTTAGCAGATGAAATTGAGAAAGCAGCCTTGAAGTGGGGGGGCGGGGGAGAGTCGTAATCTGTTCTGTCTCTTTCTTCCTCCTTCCCCCCTCTCTCCCCTTGCCAACCACTGGAGTCTCCTGACAGCATGGCCCCTATAATATGTGTCTTGTATCATCGTTGGGTTATCAAAAACACGCTGATCCATACCTTGTCTTAATGCCAGAGGAAACACGACCTGGGTCTTCTGGGACAGCCCACAGGCTTTGCACATGCCTGTCCAGTCCATCCTGTGTGCAAACACTTCCCCTGAGCTACTTGAGGCTGGTGGGGATCCAGCAAGCACTCACCTCTCACCACATCACCTGTCTTCTTCCCTAGGGACAGGAGCTGACCATCCGCCAGATCTCCCTGCTGGGCTTCCGGGACCTGGTCCTGCTGAAGGTGAAGCTGGGTGACTTGCTGCTGTTGGCACAGTCCAAGCTGCCCTCATCCGTTATACAAATGCTGCTCATTCTGCAGGTGAGCGCTGGGGGAGGCCTGCTCCTCATGCCAGCCAGGAGTGAAATAATCCAGCCCTGATGGAGGTGGGGAGGAGGTCTAACAACAGAGCCGGGTAGCTGAGCTGTGCGTCCTTCTTGTCCGTATGTGTTTCTTGGTTCACTGGCTCATGTATTTGCTGTACACCCATCAGGCCCCCAGTGCTGTACTCAGTGCTGGCATTGGAATAAGTGGGGGAAGACCTGGAACCTGATTTACTGGGTGCTGTGGCCTTCTCAGTCCCTGTGAGGGTGGGATTTGGGTGCTTGCATTCCCTCTGTTCTGAATGCTCTGTGGTCTGGGACAGTCAAGGCATATCCTAAACATTTCCCTCATGCTTCTGACCTCAGCACCCACCCAGCCCAGAGTTTTGAGCACACAAGTAGGCTTTCATTGTGGTGCCAGCTAGTGAGGAGTAGACATCCTTCTGTACTCTTCAACCATGTCTAGAAGCCAAGGAGTGCAAATAATAACAAAGTATCTACCATAGTAGTCAAGATAGACCTAGAACTCCTAGATGGGTATCATGGCAAAGCAAGACCATATCAGGTCTCAGAGCCACCAGCTCTGGTCACTTTCTGGTCTCTTTTTGGATGGTTCTTCCTTATTTTTTGTGATGCTGTCTCTTGTGGCCTTGCCTGGTTGCTGCTAGACTTGGTCTTTCGATGTTGGTGGAATTATTTGGATCCGATTACATGTGACGCGCCATGGTGTTTGTTTCCAGCGAGACACTACCCAGATGGCTCCAGGCTGTCTTCTCATCCCGATCCTAAATCTGCAACAGGAAGATGAGCTAACACTTCCCAGGCTCTGGTTGTTGGCCAGGTGCAGGCACCAGGACTATAAATGTACTGTTTTCTTAAACAATCCAAACAACCATTTTATGAGGTCAGCGTTGTTGTTATTCCCATGCTCCAGATGAGGAAACAGTAACAGGACACTTCTGCACTTGAGTGAAATCCCTCAGCTGGGAAGAAGTGCTAAGATTCTAATACTCAGAACATTCTGCTCCCTTCTTGGGGCAACGGATCTGATCGGTGCATGTTGGGTTTGGGGATCCCTTTTGCCCAATCAGCTGTGACATTGAGTGAGGTCAGGTAGAACCCACCTGCCCTGGGGAGCCCACATTCCCCATGGATGGCTGTGCAGTTCTCAGGTTCCAGTCTCCACCAGGCTCTTGATGACTGGAGGAATGCCACCAGCCCCACCTCCCCCAGCTACTGTGCTTTTGGTTATCTTGGGGCCGTCTTTCTGCATATTCCCCTTTCCTGTAATTAGAAAAGAGGAAGGGTCATCTTAGAGATGACGGTGGCTGTCAGTCTAGGTCCGGCCTTTTTGTAGGAGGGAAGAAAGGGATAGGCATGGAAAAGTGTCTGCAGCTTGCATCTGAAGTACTGAACACAGAGCTTAGCTCCCACATATGGAGTGTAGAAAAGGAGCCCCTGAGGATTCTGGGAGTGGGGTTAGGAAGTCGGGCTCCACTTTCTGTTTTTGTGTATAACCCTTCAGGGAGGCATCCAGCGTTAGTTACTTCCCCTTTTGCTGTGACAAAATACCTGAGAAAAACAACTTAAAAGAGGAAGGGTCATTTAGGTTTCCAGTCATCACCGCACAGAAGCCATGGCAACAGGAAGGTGCGGCAGCTGTCCACACCGTATCTTGTATCTGTATCAGCAAACAGAGAGGGATGGATGTTGGTACTCAGCTGGGTTCCTCTTTCCATGCAGCCTGAGACTCCAGTCCAGGGAATGGTGCTATCCATGTGTAGGGTGGGTCTTCCCACCTCTATAACCTAACCTAGATAAGCCCTCACGGACAGGCAGGCATGCTCCCCAGGGGTGGGGGTTTCCATTCTGACAGTGATGTTAACTACTACACATCCCTTTCTGTTTGTGGATGTGGTTGCCCTCTGAGGATTTTTCCCCACTTGCAGGAGGACCTGTTTTTATTCATGAAAGCCTTTTGAGGTTCTGGGTCCTGTGTAGAACAACCTGATGACACATGTCACCACCCCTTAAAGCCCCTGAAGATGCCCCAGAAGTTCCCTACTCTGCCCTGTCCAACTTACCCACCATGCTGTGTACCTGCAACTTTTTCCGTCTGATCTTAGGAAATCTGCTCAAGATGGTCCCTGGACCTTCAGCCCCTTCCACCTTTCCATCAGGTATTGGAAGCTGGCTTACCTGGTGCTCTGGCTTTCTTGGTCCCTGCGGGGCTGGGATCTTGGTACTCACTTTCTCTCTGCTCTAAACACTGTTGTCTGGAACAGTCAAAGCAAAATCTTAAGCTTCTTCCTCACGCTTGTACCCTCAGCACGCAGCCCAGTCTTGATCATAAAAGTAGGTGTTCAGAAAGGGATGGAGCCAACTAGTAAGATTTTACTGAAGAGGACCCAAGTCCATGGCCTTTGAGGACCATGGTGGCTTCTTCTTATAAAAGAGTGAAGCTAGAGAAGCTCCATGGCTATATTGAAGTTCTGGAAAATTGGGCAAGGAAACAGTCTCTGCTGTGGGTCTCCTTGGTTTTCCCTCGTCAAGGTGGTGGACGATCAGAGACGTTAGCTAACTAACAGGAGTACAGACTGACCCCTGGGAGCTGGACCAGTCAGCCATTCCTCATTCACTCGCTCTGTCCTCTTAGCCTTCCTTCCTGTCTGCTCCTAGGTACTGGAAACACCCTAAGAACTTGTAAGATGGTCACACTCCAGGGTGGGGCACTTGGCATCTTTTCCCTCTGCACCTCCCGGGACTAGATCTCCTGGACCCTTCCTCCCTTGGATCTCACAGACCTGAGGCAGGGGGATGACAGCAGTCAATGTAGGTCTTTCCTCGGTCCAAATCTATTTTCTGGGGCCTGAGGGGCAGCAGCTTGGGAGTCAGAATAGAATGTTCAGGGAATCCACTCTGGAGCCACGCCTGCTACAGGGAATGTACTGTCAATTGTCTGTTCTTTTCTAGGCCCTTACTCTCCACAGGACATGAGACCTGGGAATGATTTTCCCAAAATAACCTGACTCTGATACAAAGAAAAAGAGCCTTTCTCAGACTTCCGCTCTCTCTTTCCACCAGCCTTCCAAACATTCTTGAGCCAATCCCTCCCTTATAGGAAGATACAAAGGCATCTCCTGCTATAGGTAGAGAGCTCCTGTTCTCAAGGGGTCCCCCCCCAGATGATGAGGGAGGCCTTCTGTCAGTATGGGGCCCTCCCCAAGAGGCAAGATGTGTGACATTGTACTTGGAGGGCCCTGTAGCTAGTTAATAGTCTCCCATCTCCCACTCAACATTCTTAATAATTTTTGACTGTAGGGCTCAGCATCTTGTTTCATACTGGGCCGTGAAAAGTTGTCATTTATGGGCTGTGTTTTGCTAAGTGGGCTAGCGGTGGGGCAGAAGGCTGAGGATGCCCTCACGGGCCGTGTCCTTGGGAGAGCTACCCAGCTCCAAGCTGGGTTATCATCCATTTGCCTCCTGCCTTTTGCCACTTCTGTTTCCTGTCATTTCTCTTCTGGGGGAAAAGCTAGAGAAGAAGTTGATGAGGACTAGCAAGAGAATAAAAATAAAAGAAGAAGAAAGCCTTTATTAGACTTTGAGACCTAATAAAGGTGGTTTATGGCTTGGAATGCTCTGCCCTGAGGTCTGGTTTGATTCCTGCCCCCCTTTTTTCCTACTGCCTTGAGTACCCCCCTCTGGTTTGGGCAGGCCTTCCTAAGTAAAGCAGCTTATTTTCTTATCCTTTTCATTTCCAACGCTAAGCATTCTCATGCTTGAGCTCAAGGGGAGTGGAGAGCAGTGTGTGGCGATTCGCCATGCCTATTCCCACGGCCACAGTCAAGTTCATCCCAGTGAATAGTCACTTACTCTGCATTTGTCTCTTCCCTCCCTTTCTAGTCCCAGACTGCAAACTCTGCATACACCTGTAGCTTCTTCTTAGGTTTTTTGTTTCCTTAAACCACCCAACACCCAAGCATCTGCATCTCATTTGATATAGCTGAGGAGGACCAAGGGAGAGCCTGTTTCCTAGGAACCACATCTCATCCATTCAATCCCTAATCTGCAGGAGCAGGCCCAGCCTGCTTCACTCCACAGACAACTTGGGGGCCATGGTGAGCTTTGTGTTGTTTTTAAGGAAAACCATTCAGGGTCTGTTTTGGAGAATTTGAGGAGATAATCTTTCTGGCTATAGAGACCCCTGGAGCCTCCTTAGGCCCTTGTCCCTTTCCTGGTGGTCTTTGCCACCCCTCATCAGGAGAGCACATTTTCACACCCTTTCCAGTGAGAAACAGTTCACAAGGAGCATGCTGGTTTTTTTTTTTAAGTGTAACTGTTACTTTATTTATTGTTATTATTATTTATTTGGTTTTTCTTTTTTTTAAAGGCTACATACTGTATTATTCCACTGATATGCAATAATATCCAGAATACACACATCTTTTCTTACTTATTTTATGTATATGAGTGCCCTATTGAAGTTTTGCCTGAAGAGGGCATCAGATCCCACTATATGATGGTTGTGAGCCACCATGTGGTTGCTGGGCATTGAACCCGGGTCCTCTGGAAGAGCAGCCAGTGCTCTTAACCACTGAGCCATCTCTCCAGCTCTAACTGCTGGTTTTCTAGGAAGCAGGTTTTTGCCAGCCCCTTTCCCGTTTTGGCTGCCATGCGTTTATTTTGGTTTGCTTTTACCCAAGGCTTAGTGTGAGGGCTCCGGCCCTGCTGGACTGCTGAAATCAGACTGAGAACCACTCTTCCTCTGTCCTGTCCTGGACTTTTCAGTGCTCTTCCTCCATTTTCTAACCTGGTAACAAGTGACAGTCACATGGGCTCAGAGCCCGGTAGCTTGGGTTCCAGTCTAGGGGGCTTTTTTTGTTGTTATTGTTCTTTATTCTTATCATTTGTTGGCTGTGTTATACTAGGCAAGTTTCTTAAGCCTCCTCCTGGTCTTTATTTCTGGTCATTGGAAGGATTGTTCGAGACAGGGTTTCTTTGTGTAGCTTTGGTGGCTGCCCTGGATCTCACTCTGTAGATCAGGCTGGCCTCAAACTCACAGAGATGTGCCTGGTTCTGCTGGGATTAAAGGCATGTGCTACCACCGCCCGGCTCACATACAGTGCTTTTGTGAAGTGCCTGTGTGCTGTGGGAAAGCTCTCCACTCCTCTGTGGGTGGCATAATTGTTGGGCCTTGCCACCTGCCCCTTTAGAGCCAGAGTTAGGACTACGCTACATACACTGTCCTGGGAGAACCCAGATATTGTTCTTAGAAGGCCCAGGTTCTGGTTTGTTTTTTGAGACAGGGTTTCTCCATGCAGTAGCTCTGGCTGTCCTAGAACTTGCTCTGTAGATCAGGCTGGCCTTGGACTCAGAGATCCACTTGCCTCTTCGTTTCTGGTTTAATTAATCTCTCATCTTCCACTCAGCATCCTTATTGATTTTTCACCTCAGGGCCCTGCATCTCCATTTTGTCCTGGGTCAGGAAAAGCTGTCATTTGTGTTTTGCTAGGCAGCCTGGCAGAGGGGCTGAGGATTGGGGACTGCTGCCTCTGAAAGGGTCAGTGCAAGCTGCGTCCCCATGGCCTGTGGACCTGGGAGAGGCACCCAGCTCCAAGTCTTGCATTCATCCTCCCCCCCCCCCCCGCTCCTATTCCTCGTCTCCATTTCCTGTGCTCCTTCATTCTCATCCATTGACTTGGGACAGACGACCAGCGCTTCTGGCCGGTTTCCTTCATTCTAACCACCAGGAGCCTAACTGTGACCAACACTGCCTTGTACTCGGAGGAGGGCCACTGGCAGGCGCTGACAGGTGTCCACAGCTGCGACACTTCTGACTAACCTTTATCTGTCTTGGGTGTTTGTTTGTAGAGTGTTCATGAGCCCACAGGCCCAAGTGAGGGCTATCTGCAGCTGGAGGAGCTGGTGAAGCAGGTGGTGTCTCCCTTCCTTGGCATCAGTGGGGACCGCAGCTGCACAGGCCCCACGTACTCACTGGGTAAGAAAAACGTAGCTCTAAAGTCTAGAGGCTTGGGGATAATAATACCCACTACATGGTACTGAGCACCGATTGTCTGCCTAGCGCTTTGTGCCAGTGAAGGCCAGTGCAAATCTTGGTTTGTTAATTACAGATGTTCCTAGGCCATGTGGCAGCAACCCTGCCCCTCTACCAGTCTTTCTCAGAGACTGATCCCGGCCCCTGTAGTGGTTACCTGTCTTATCCATACCTTTGATCTTTGAATGTGCCTGGACATTAATTTTCTTGTATCCAATACCAGAAACTGTATTTCTTTTTTAAAAATATGCCAGCCTTAGTCTGGGTTACTATTGTTGTCATCAAACACCATGAACAAAAGCAACTTGGGCAGGAAAGGGTTTATTTCACCCACCATTCCACGGAACAGTTCATCATTCAAAGCAGTGAGGGCAGGAACTCAGGCAGGACAGGAACCCGGAGGCAGAAGCTGATGTAGAGACTATAAAGGGGTGCTTTTTATTGGCGTGCTCCCCGAGGCTTGCTCAGCCTTCCTTCTTATAGAACCCAGGACCACCACCAGCCTAGGGATGACACCACCCACAATGAGCTGGGCCTTCCCTCCAGCAATCACTAGTTAAGTAAATACCATACAGGCTTGCCTACAGCCAGATCTTAAGGAGTCATTTTCTTATTTGAGGTTGCCTCTTCTCAGATGACTTTAGCTTGTGTCAAATTGACATAAAACTAGCCAATACAACACTCTTCACTCATATGAGTGGACACCCACCCATTATATTTCTTCCCTTGACAGCAGCTCAGCATGTGAAGCTACCATGTCACTCTCACAGCCAGATCTTTCATCTGCTGTCCTCACTCTGTTTCCATAGGTACTGCAAGGTCTTTCACTACAAGGGATGGGGTTCCTGGATTTGGGGATAAATTCTCCTAGGGCCCCCCTTTTGGTGACCATAAAGCTACTACAGTACCAGGTTCTGTCCTAGTCTCTTTAAAGTATCTAGAGGGGAGTCAAATCTGGTCCTTCTCCCAGTGAGAGCACAGTCTTGATGGTCTCAGAAGAAATGGCTGATGATGTAGTACCATCTACTGTAGAATAGTTCCCAATAAAACCATGGTCTTAGCCGGGCGGTGGTGGCGCACGCCTTTAATCCCAGCACTCGGGAGGCAGAGCCAGGCGGATCTCTGTGAGTTCGAGGCCAGCCTGGGCTACCAAGTGAGTCCCAGGAAAGGCGCAAAGCTACTCAGAGAAACCCTGTCTCGAAAAACCAAAAAAAAAAAAAAAAAATTAAAAAAACAAACAAACAAACAAACAAAAAAAAAACCATGGTCTTGGTGGAAACAACCCTGTGAAAGGCTTGTGATAAAGACTCCGGTCACTGCCTGAGATGTAAGCACTTAACGTGCAGACACTCACTTGCTTATTTCCGTCTTCAGCGTCTGCAGTGGTGCCTGACATCTAGCCATGCAGCAATACAGCAGGTATTCGAGCATGATTGTTAGACCCATGCCGGCAGCTGTACTCCCAAGGCCGGGTGGCCGGCACCCACAGAAAGGTGCAGAGCAGGAAACATCACCTGGATGGGAATCTCTCGGCCCTCTTTCTGCTGTGATAGAGCTGTCGTTGAGCTTCAAAGCCAAGGAGGCAAGGAACAGTCTCCAGGGAGCTTGCTGCCCTTCCTGGGTCTCTTGGTGTAGCAGGCTGAGCCTTCTGCTGGCAGTTTTCCTGGCCCTGGTCCTGTCTCTCTGGGGGTACCAGCTTCACCTCATCCACAGACAGGAGGAGGCTGGCTCCAGTCAGCAGACCCCCAGGTCTTTCCACAGCCTCGATCTCTGCTCTCTTCCTCACCCCCTTGACATAAGATCAGAAAGCTATTGAAGGAAGACAACCTCCCACCCTCTGCCCTAAGCTGGATGCTATATTGCTGCAGTCTCCATGGACCCTACCTTCCTTATTACTGCCTGGGCTCATGTCATTTCAGGGATGGGGACCCAGGGAGATGTCAGGATGCCAGCAGGTTAGCTGACGTATGCCAAGAACTCTACCATAGTCAGGGCCTAACGCCAACAGAGAGGAAGAAAAATAACTTTTCTTCAACCCCCATAAGCTCTTAGTTGGAACAGATCCCTGTAACAGATTAACGAGAAAAACAAACAAGTGTATTAAAACATGTGTTCTCACATGCAGGAGAGAATCCAGGGAACAAGAACTTTTCAAACAGTTGGCTTTGAGTCCCTGTTTATGTAACAGCTTTAATAAAGAACAATAATTTTTGAGAACAGGGTCTTATGTAGCCCAGGCTGGCCTCAGCCTTACTATGTAGCCGAGGATGGCCTTGAACTTCTGATCCTCCAGCTTGGACCTGCTTCTCCATTGTCTTTACTTCACTAATCTTGCGTGTTTTAAAAATTACTTATTGTTTTATGTGTGTGGGCCTTGCCTGTGTGCGTGCACTTGTGTGTCTAGTGCCCAAAGAGGCCAGGAAAAGGCATTGACTCCCCTGGAGCTGGAGTTTTGGGAGGTTTTGAGCCACCATGTGCTGCTGGGAATTGAATCTGGGTTTACTTGAAGAGCAGTCAGTACACTTAACTGCTACTCCATCTCTTCAGCCCCCACTTCATGGTTTGAGGAGGCATATTCTGGTTTCCCAAGCCTGGAACAAAGGTAGATAGAAGAACTCTAAGAGGAGCTACCTCTGGCTCTCCAGCCCAGATAGGAATAATACATACTTTTGTCAGACGAGGCCTGAGACCTTATTCTTGTATGAAGGACAGTGTATTTTTTTTTTAAATTACATTTATTTTATTTATTTATGTGTGTGTATGTGTGTGCTTGCGTGCACGCATGCACTCATGCATGCACACACACACACATGTCCATCCATCCATGCCACAGCCCTAGTATGGAGGTCAGAGAACAGCTTGTGGGAGGCCATTTTCTCTTCCCATCATGTGGGTTCTGGAGTTCAAACTCAGGCTGCCAGGCTTGGTGACAGGCGCCTTTCCCTGCTGAGCTCTTCTGCCAGCCCGGTCCTTATTTTTGAAAGGGACTTTGTCTTAAAAGGGACAGAGAGGCCGGGCGGTGGTGGCGCACGCCTTTAATCCCAGCACTCGGGAGGCAGAGCCAGGCGGATCTCTGTGAGTTCGAGGCCAGCCTGGGCTACCAAGTGAGTTCCAGGAAAGGCGCAAAGCTACACAGAGAAACCCTGTCTCGAAAAACCAAAAAAAAAAAAAAAAAAAAAAAAAAAGGGACAGAGGGTGGCTATTATCCTACTGGAGCAATTTAAAAATTATGGTTATTCCAGTTAATAATCTCAGCAGATGTGTCGTCAGCCTCCCCTCCGGGCACCTTGTGTGCTGCTGCAGATGTGCTAGTGAGCAAAATGGGGTCTATTCCTGCCCACAGTCCAGTGAGGGCCAGGGTAAGGTGGAGACTCATCTGTGTATGGATGCTCTGACGGGGAAGCACAGGGACCACCCAGAAGGACACTGGGGAAGGCTCCCTGAAGAAAGTGAGGTCTGTTTGGGGAGGTGTAGGATGTGCAGGAGTTAGCTGGAAGACAATCCAGTCAGGAAGGACCACTGGGAGGGCCAGGGGGTCATGGGAGGGCCAGGGGGTGGTGGGAGGGCCAGAGGTTGGAGCACTTGAGGAACTGAAGGTGCTTCAGAGGTTCGGAGTCACTAGTGGCAAGAAATAGTGCTGGTCACCGGCCAAATAGTAGACACTGTGCTGGGCAAGCTGTGGAGTAGGGTCACCATTCCTGCGTTATAAGGGCTAAAGTCGCGGGGCCCTTTGAGTTAGGACCCCAAAGCTAAGATGTTTGAGCTTCTGCAGCTGCCCTTGACAACCCCCCACCCTCCATCTCAGTACTGTCAGCATTGAGGACATGAGTTCGTCGGGGCATAGTAGTATTGGTGACCCTGCCCTTCTATCCCTCAGTCCACGAGGTGTCCCAGGCCAGACATTTCATCGCAGACCTCTGCATGTTAGCAGCTGAGGTGACCTTCCCTACCCTTTGGGGACAGAGACCTCTATTGATGGTGAAAGCACCGTCCATTCAGTCTGGGTATTAAAGACAGTAATTGAGGGGTTGGAGAGAGGCTCAAAGGTTAAGAACACATATTGCTCTTGCAGAAGGCCCAAGGCCAGTTTCTAGAAGCCACCACAAGCCACTGTAGCTCTAGCTCCAGGGAGATTACAGCACCTCTGACCCCTGTGGGCCGTTCACTCAGGTGCACACCCACACATGGACACACATATATACACATAATTCTTTAAAAAATGGACAGTGAAAAAAATTTTAAGAGTCGCATCGGAGTCACGAGAGATCCTTTTATCTGGGGCAAGGCTGTGCCGTGGCTCCCGAGACCAGAGCAGGGTGTGATTTGTCAAGGCGGCTGGGACATCATCTGAAAAGCCACTCAGCCAGTGGCCGTGCTGCACACTCCTGTCCAGGCTGTTGGCAGGCGTGCATGGCCTGAGGAGGGTGGTGCTGCCGTTTCTCTTGGGGTCCCTGGGAAATACCCCAGCTTTGCAGGCCAGAACGGTACTTACCCTGTATCCCTGCCTTGTGCCCTGCATCTTCGACTCCAGAGATGCTGGGGCCATGACTTGCTGCACCTGGAGCTGTACCAGGACAGGGAGTCTTGTTTTGGAACAACAGATAAGTGATCTAATCCAAGGCCCCACATGGAGCGTGAGCGTGTGTGCGTGTGCGTGCATGTGGTGTGCAAACCCGCCCCTCTGAAGCCTCATTTTTTTTTTTTTTTTTTTTTTTTTGTTATTACCAGAGGACAATGGCGGTATCAGGTGAGGAAGGCAGCGTGAAACTAAAAGATCAGCAAACACACAGAGTGGAGGCCTGACCCAAGCGCTGCCTTTCACGTTACCCAAATTCCTGAGCTGCCTGAGGTTTCCTGAGCCTCTCAGGGCCCCTCCTCTGCCGCATACATTCGGAGGCTAGATTCCTCCCTCACAAAAGCCCGAGCCTCCCTCACCCTCCCTC